TTTAAGAGGTCCTAACTACTCTACCCATTTTCTTGAAGTCACTGCTTTGAAAGCATTTTACAGTTCCTTGCTATGATCTCTAACCTGACTCTCCAGGAGATAAATCAATCCAGCTTAGATAGCCTAGTACTCAGTGGACACCCTTCAGATCTGGTAGTGGAACTGGGCACGGTTAGTGGGTAAGACCTACACAGTACACTTTTTTAATATACATTTTGAAGAAAGTTGGGCAGGATGGCAAGTCACATAAGGTCCCGACAGGTAATACTCAGACTGAGGATTATCCTAGAAACTATCTACTTCCCTGTGTGCTAAAACCCCTAGGTTTCCTAACTTGCACTGTAAAGTGTATTGAGTCAAGACCAGTTAGAAATTATATTTGAAGTACCCAGGAGGCAAGGTGTGGTCCCTCCAACAATTATTCTTGCATTATGATGGAGAACGTGTTTTCCAGCCTTTACAAAGGTCAGATAAAATACGCATAGAGTACATTTACAAAGCATGAAGTGTGAGTGCAGAGTTGTATGTGTCCCAAGGTACTAATACTTTTTGTGAAAATTAAATTGCCCGGTATCCACATGAGGTTCTGAAGTGCTAATGTTTGTGCAGGGAATATTCCCCAGGCAGATACATGTGTTTAAAATGCATATATTCATCCATCTGCCTAGAGTATATTTAAACGCAGGAGTTAAGAGTGAAATAACATTTTTGCCTGAATTGAAACACAATTCAGAGCATGTCAAGAACAGGAAGCAGAACATACTAAATTACACAGAGTTAAAATTGCCTCCTTTGAATTCAAATGTCAAAATTTTCAATGTTATGGCTACATGACATCAAAATGTGGAAATACTCTACAGGATTACCTTCTCATATACTGATTCTCCAGTCAGACTGAATCCAACTGATTCTATTTGTCTAGTTGGGTTTTGCTGAAGATGGGACCTCTGTAACGACATGGCCACTTCTTCAAGCTCCCAACCATTGCAGTTTATAGGGGACAGAGATGACAGGTCAGAAGGTGACAGACTATTTCATCTGGGGGCTGTTGTTTGCATTTCAGCAAGGAAAGAAAAGCAGAAGTACACTGTGCCTGCTGCCTATACACTCACTGGTACTGCATACCTGTGAAACCCTGGGAGTAGCAGTTTATCACCCTATCAACTCTACGCAGTTCAAAGGCTCTGCCAGAGGACTGCCTTTGCCGCAATGCCTCTACTCTGCCCTGCTTCCACCTACAGCGAGAGAAAGGGCAGGCCTCACTCTCTGTCTCTCCAGATTAAATCATCTCAAGCCTTTCTTGTCTAATCGAACTAAAATAGTGCTGTACTGTCCACACAGTGTCATCTGTTAAACGAGAATAGTTAGAAGAGAAGGTTCATTCAATTTTTAAGGTGTTGTTTTTTTTTTAAAGCAAGGCTGGTGGTACTGGAGCCCGAGCAGAGGCCAGCAGGTGTTACACTGCACTCTGCTGGCCCTGCCATGCAGCTTGGCTGATGCAGGCAAAAACCTTTTCTGCTGCAATTACAAGCACTTCTTAAATGATGACTTCATGAAACAGGAGAGGGCCCTAATAAAAGTCCAAATATTTCCAAACTTTGAGCCTTGTGTAGGTGGGACTGTGCACCTGCACAACACTGACAGAGCTCTGGAATACTAAACGTCCTTCCCTGCTCCTTCTACGGTGCAGCCCCCACCAGCTCACCTGCCTGACACAGGGATGGGGGCCAGGAACATACTGCTGTCCCCTCTGTGCCCAGCCAACACAGCAGGAAATGTAATACAGCCATTCACAGGTTCACAAGGCTAAGTGATTAATTTAAGGAGGCATCACAGTAAACAAACAAACAAATAAACAAAACCCGTGGCTAAACAAGTAGCAGTAACTAAGAAATTTAAAGTGTTATGACTTGTATTTACTAAGATATTCACTAAGGCAGAAAACATTTTGCAGCTACACTATAAAGCAATAGGGCATCCTCACCTTGACTACCTCTGATAGAGAAATCTTTTCTTGTATTATGTGTCTATCCATAGTTAAATTAGGTGAAATAAAGTAATACATTTTAAACAAACCCTCACATTCTCAAACAACTATCAATCACTTCAACTACCAGCAGCTTTCCCTGAAAGGATTCCTTATGGTCTCCCCTGAAACACCTCTCAGAAGTGAGATGAAAGATGAGATGAACCACTACCACAGTGCAGGCTGGCAATATCTCTTCTATAATTATGAGATGTGTAAAAAATATAATGAAACTCCAAAACCATTTTCTTTACTGCTCAGGGGAGACATTGAGCTCAACTTCACAATTGAAGAAACCTAAAAGGAGCAAGAAAGTGGAACTATATGATAATGATAGAACTGAATGGACGCAGAAAACGTGGTAAATTGAACACAGAGCATCATAAAAATATGAGACAGAGAAAAGAAAATTTTCCGAGTACTGCATAGGTTTATGAGCCCTGGAAGACAGCAAACAAGGAGGGATGAAATTGTGTCCAGTTACTACTTTAAGATAGGTGGCAAGGTGACGTTCTGGTTTTGGTGCCTCAAGAATTTTTCCACTGGGATCAAGGAATACTCACAGGCATAAATATCACACTTGCATCAGAAGGAAAAGTTCACTCCCCAAGCTTCACTAAAGTGCTAGAAAGGTAGCCAAGACATTCCAAGGCTGTTCTGAGTGGCTGCAGATCAGATGACACGCAGCTCAGCACTTTGGTATGAACAGCTGAGAAAAGCACAGAAGTGGATAGGTACAGCATCCCAATGGTTCTACTTCCCAGAAAAAACCCTCCAAATATAATAAACTCCAGATATACACACATTCATAGAGATGTATGGAAGACCACAGTTCATTGACACATTTGTATAAAATCATTAATAATGGATATATTTTAACCATTATCTATATATCCATTGTTTTCAATACAAGAAACACTTAGTACTAATAATGTACTACCAAAACATTCTTCCATTACCTACATGTTTATTTTCTGTCTTTTGGAGCAGAAAATATGGCTCGCGGCCAAATTTTGAAATAAAATAGATAAGTAATAAAGAAATAAATTTAAGGTTAGAAATTTTAATTTAATAAATTCTATAAATCTATGGTAAATAAATCGTAATTCTGTGTCTACTATCTTCCAGTATTCTTTGAAGTGGAGAAGGCAATCTGTGGGAGACCAGCCAGGCATGTTTAGGTGAAAAAAAGACCACAGTGCCAGACAGAATGAAAAAGAAACAGAGCAACTGTCTCTGGAGATGGCATCTTGGTTGAATGTGAGGGAGTCTGCATGAATACATACAGGTCTGGGACTGGGAAACAGTGGGTGATGATGGATGGGATGGTGAGAGAACCTGAGTGGGTGCCAGTAAGTGACTCTGTGGTATGTCCAAATAAATATGGCTGGGGCTTAACACTCTCAAAGCTGATTGTGGATGGGGTCTACATGACAGATAACTGGCACAGGAAAAAGAAAAAAAGCACCAAGGGGTTGTAAGCTATTAGTACCCTTCAGCCTGATGGTTACAGATGTTCAAAAAGTAGCATGAACACTGATTCTTAACTCTCCAAAAAGCCATTTACTCTCAAAATGTCACAAAAAGAACCTATGTACTGCATATACAACATCTGGAGTCACCATGCAGCTGCTCATGGACACTAACCAAGGAAAATAAACACAGTCTCTCACTTGCAGAAAGTCACCAAAGTTTCACCTCCTGACTGTCACTCTCGCACATTCAGACAAAGGAGAGCATTTTCCATTTTCCCTGCTGCAAGGGAGATGATTGCAGGATGACAACCTCTTTACATCTTTTAATCTCTTGTTCTCATGTCCAAAAGTAAAGTTGGCAGGAAAAATTAGCTGTCTTGAGACATATTATGGATACAGAGAGTGATCAGCAAGTTACCAATAGCCTGGGGTAGAAGACTATGAGCGTCTTAGAATCCTTGAGAAGCATTCCTTAAAAAGCAACAACATCATGGTGCTTGCTGACAGCCTCTGTACAGGGATATATTTCTCCCATCCTGAGCTAAGAAGAAGTGGAGAGCTGATCTGGTGTTTGTTGCAAGATGACAAAGGCAAGTAGTCCTTCCCAAAAACAGAAGGAATGATGCACTTTTTTTCTGTACTAATGCCACAAGGCTGTGCTCAGGGCTGCTTCCACTGTTGACAGATGGAGACAGGGTAGAAGATGAAATGTTTGGTTAACCAAGTGTTGGCCACAAATATTTCCAGCTGCTTCAGCACAGCTGATGCACATGTTCTGGAGAAATTAAAAGGGAAGTTTGCATCTCTATGCATTATTTTTCTTTTTAAATACTACAGTCATAAGTCTTTGGGTTTTAAAAAAAGCTTTTACCACATCATATGTAACATGCAATATTTCAATTATCTAGGACCATACAGGATTAGTTTTGGGTAGTTGTTCTGCTCAGGCATTTTCTTTACCACAAAGTTAACATCATTTTGAAAAATAAAATTGATTACATTAGAACCTTTAAAAAAAAAACTTCCTTACTTTTTGGAGAACAAGAAAAGGGAGATCAAAAAGTAAACAGAACCTGACATATAATAAAACAAATATCGACAACTGGGTATCCTTGCCCTGACCAGGTAAATTTTTGCTTACCTTAAAGAGCTTCATCGTGACAAGAACATAAAGTATACAGAAAATTTACCACTTTAAATGCAGAGATGTAATTCTATTTTTAAAAAGAACTATCATTCTTTCAGCTACTTACCTCTTTTTTCTATCTTCATGCAAATTACTGGAGTTAAATAATAGAAATAGACAATTTTTCATTTCATTTTCATGATCTAATATTCAGCTACCTAGTGAACCTTCTCTAGCCTAAATGTAAGTGCCAGCAGAGAAGTGTGCTGAATTTAACAGCTCTCTTGCAGTCATTGTGTGTTTTTAGTTGCACTTGATATAAAATACTTTGTGTAGAGTATAAAAAACTGCTGTATTCCCCATAATAATTTACCTGTTTATATGCAACACATGTACTCCATATTTGTTTTCAATTCTGTACTTTACTGGATCACTTGCAGGGGTAATCAATTCCTCATTTTTGTACCTGACAATCAAAAAAAAAATGAACTCATTAATATCAGCTACTATTCACTGCATTAATTTAGTAAATTTTTACATCCACATACCATTTACTATCATCTGAGCTCTCTCTATAAATCTTCTCTATATACAGAGTATTTTCCAGTATGCCTGGATAGATACACATTCGGCCATAGAGACAAACAGGGAGAATCATTGCAGTAAGAAAGTGGAAAAAAATTGTGCACCCAACTGGAAGAGCAGTAAAGAGAAGATGGCATGGGACTTGAACTTTCTGGCCAGCTAGCCCTGACAAAAGATGGGAAGCAAACTTTGTCTTGGATCATGGTAAAGCACTTCAGCACAAACAAAGGAAACAGCAACAGGATTATGCCTCAGGTTAGATATTCACAGTCCAGCCTGGGGCTCTCACATATGCAGGACAGCACTTATCTGGAGAGCAGGGCAGCTTCAGGGATGTTACACTAACATCCCCCTCAACAGAGGCCAACACAAAGTGAACGAAGAAGTAGCCCATGACAATAGTGGTGGTGTGCAAGTTTACCCAGGCTTAAGAAGTAGCCTGTGAACTCTGTGCATTTTGCTATTTGCTACTTCATCATCAGGGAATTCAATGGCCAAAAAGACTGGAATGCCTTGCACAGTCTGCCTTCTGAAATACTTGAGTTTGCTTCTCATACTGCACAGGGCCATTCAGCAAGCTGTCCTCCCACTCCTTCCATGGCCGTATCAACTGCCACAATCCAGCACATCTATGGGGATTATAAAGGGGGTTTAACATAGCCATTATGTATGTGACACTTATCAGTTATGACATAACTTCCAAATGAAAAAAGCTTAGCAACATTTTTAGAGAGCTAGGAAAGGCCAGTCTCTTACCATTGTACAACAGGAGTGGGAAATCCTTGTACAGTGAAGCAAAGGCTCACAGACATCTTTTCCCAGACAGTGTGAGACCTCAGGCGCACTAGAATTTCAGGAGCTTGACTTATAGTTTCCTCAACAGCATGTCTTTCCAGAGCCATATTTTCTTCTACCTATTAAGCACACGAAAAGAAAAGAAGCATCTAGCACTTAAATGGGGTAGAAGATCTAATCTTAAATCCACAAAATTAAAAGATGCTACATCACTATTGGTATTTGAAACACTGGCCTAAATTTCAGTATAATTCTGCTTGGATAGGAACAAAAAGGTTTAGCACTGTACCATCCTTTGTATAGCAAGTCTATCCAGATGTTCTCTAGCACGGTGCCTGGCTGTGTGAATCTCTTTTTCCAAAGCAGATAACTCACTGGCAAACCGGATCCTTTTCTCTTCACTTGCATGAGACTTTTGTTCATGAGTCCTGTAGAAGAAGAAAAAATATCGAGTAATGAATAGGAAGCTTTAAGATTGTCATTCATACACATTAGGCAACTGAAGGCTCTGAAACCATATCAGCAAGATGCAAAATCTAGTTTAGGAATTGTTTTTAGAGTCTATCTGTCTACCCTAATGAGCATGTGAAATGAATGTGAATTTTCCTTCATTTTCTTTCCCCCTTTATACGTGGTGCCATAGCTTGAAAGCTGACCTGGTCACTTTGACATGGTACCCCACAGTCTTAGTCCTCTGGTAATCAAGATCAAGAACCTGTCTGGCTTCCCTTTGGCCCCTAGTTTTCCTTCCCAGGGACACAAGAAGGCAAGGCAGTGAATGCATGTTGTGTGCCTGTTCACATTCTTATAAGAGTTGAGACTCGCTATGGTGTGCCCTAAGCTCTAGCACTTGGGAAGTTCTGCTGTCTCCATGGGCTGAATCAGTTGACCTCACCTGAAACATACAGACCAAGGAGTTCACAAGGCTTTGATGAACCGCTGCATGCAAAATATCTGTCCTTGGACAGGGATGAGCTGGTTATAGAAACTACCAGGAAAAGACAACCTTTTGAGAAATCTGTGGGCTGTTTCCTGAAAATACAACTCCATAGATTTTTCAGAATTCCTAAAAAGAAAGCCCCTTGTAAATGTTTTTAGGAGGAGCTAGCTCAAGCTCCTGCATTTATGCTGATTCAGTAAGCAGCCTATGTTACTCTTTGCCTTGCCTGTTGGACAAAAGAAGGGAGCTGAGTATCAGAAGTTTCTAATGTGGCTGTCCTTATATATTATGGCAAGCCTCTTAAAACGTAACCCAATATTCTGTGAAGCAAATAAGACTTGCATGAGATTCAGTGAACAGTAGATCAAGATGTTATTTGTCTGATATTTTAGAAGTATTTATTTGTACCATATCAACATATTTTAAATACCAGGTTTGTTCTGCCATGCATTGTTTTATATTGTTAAAATTTAAGACAGTGTTTAAAAAAATACAGTGTACAAATAAGTTTGATTTCCCTAGAACATTCTGTTTCTAGGATATATATTTCAAAACAGTCAAAGTACAAGAACAATATGAGTGTATATGATTCTCGCAACACATTTTCTACAAACAAGGCAGAATTTGTTCTTGTAGTGAAGAATCTTTATGTCTTCGGTGCAGTCACTGTACAGCATGGCAGAGCAGAAACAGTTGAATTCACTAACAGGAATATTGGCATCAGTATACTGATGACAGTACAGTATATTACTATATGACTTAAAACCAAGGCTGTAACTGAAACATGACAGTAAGCCCTCTTGGTATTAAGGAAGAACTCAAAATATTTAAACTGATCCAAACTAGAAATTCAGGACTAGTCGAGTAGGTCTGCTCAAAAATGAGTTTTAGATCCCAGGCAGATTCTAATTTATTTTGGTTTTAAAACTGTTTTCAAGAGTCAGAGTGTGGATTAGGGGAACAACTCTGGGTTGAAATATGAGACTGAAAGTGACACCAGTCATTTAGTATTTCAGCCAAAATAGATTAGTGAAGAACAGTAACAGAGAAGCCTCCAGTCTTGTCAACTCTGAAAAGAGCCCTGCAAAAGAGTGATACTAAATGGGACCACAGCCACTACACAGGTCAGATGAGACCAACAGAGCTTTACCTTTTCCTGGATTCTTGTATTGCTTCATGAGCCAAGGTGCGTGCTCTTCTGGCACAGAGTCGGCACGTCGTTTTTCCCAAGCCAGATGATTCATAATAAGCAGCCTGTCTGGAAGCAGCCCTTCAAATATGAAAGACATTATTATAACCCAGCAACTCTGGTAAAACATGAACTCACAAAAGTCAAAGAAATTACTTTAAATGAGCTGAACACCATGACTGAGCACTGTTGAGTGAAAAATCGACTTTGCATTTCTCACTAACTGCACTAGGGTGCTGATTCTCACTTGTCCTTCAAGGGCTTTATGTCCATCATGTGTCATTGGGGATCATTAGGCATTTTTTTTTCATTCAGTTCTATTAAATTTATACTTACTTCAATCTCCAATCATTCAAGTGCTATGATAGCGTTTCAGTGAACCACAAGGGTACCAGCCTGTCTAACACACAAATTAGAATTGCTATAGTATTGTCTATTTCTAAATTTTCCTGCCTTTCTATACTTCACATAACCTTCTGCATAAACTCTCCTCATTCATAAGGGAAGCTGGACAAGCAAGATAGCTAACTAGGGATCTTAAATACTGAGGAGGGAGGACAGTGGTTCTTTAGCAACCAAGATGCAAAGCTCCAGGCTTTGAGATACAAAAAAATGTGTATCTTGTGGCTGAAAATCTGAGATTTCACATGAGAGGAGATAAACCTTTGTTTAATTGAGAGGAGAGGAGATTTCTCGCCAATACTCATATTTCTCATATATTGAGAATTTGAGAACATATATTTGAGAATATACTATTTTCTCAAATATTCTCATATTTTTATTCTCATATATTTGAGAATTCTCTCAGATTTATCTCTGAGATTTCATGAGGAGATAAACATTCATTTAATTTTAAAAGAGGGAACTGAATGACAAAAGCTATAATTAGGTATAGCTAACTTCAGAACAAGGAATAGCCTCATGTCACACAGAAGAACAGCTAAAAAACTGTTTCTATAATTTACAGTAAAATTCATGACAGTTTTTTTTAAGTCAGAGCTTTAGTTGGAGCCTAAAAGGAAGAAGTTTCAACTTGGAGGTAGTAAACAGGTCAGATCTTGAGCTAAAGTGTCTGTGTAGGTGAGTTGCAACATAGCTAGAAAGTCTAGATATGCTGGTGAGAGACTATAGACAAGGAGAATCCCTATGGAAGGAAGTGGCAAACTACCATTCTCAATAAATTAATTTTTTTGGGTGCACAGGGGAAAGCTAAATATCTTGATTCTAAGAACTGATTACCCATTATGGAAACTTCTCTATGCTCCGTATCTGAAATGCACGTGTCGTTGTTCAGACAGTTGTGCTATCACCTGATGACTCCTTGATCACCACATACCAGAGCAGGCCAAAAACTAAATCAGAGTGTCTTACCACTTTTTTCCCATGAAACTGAGTATTGTAGTCTCTATAGAAATGCAGCTTTCCTGAATAGAAAACTGATTCTATGATTCTATCCCAGTGAAACCAGGACAACATGGCACTTACTTTCTTGCTGCATATTCCTCAAGTACATATCTTGTCTGAATGTTGCGGTAGGACTGATCAAAGTGCTTGTGCCTCCTCTGGTAAAACGGCACCGCTACTGACGACATGCTTCAGTTTGTTACAATCAGTAATTCCTGCAGAGAATGAAATCACATTTAGTCATATATTTCAGACGCTTACATTTGATATTTCTTGGTAAGTAGACATCCGTGTGTACATGTACAAATGTATAAAATTCCATCAATTTATGACAAATAGAGCCATCAATGATATACATGGGTAGCTCAGGCTGTATCTTATCAGCCACACAGTGTGAGCTCTGGAATCATAGATGATAAAGCAGGAAGATAATTTTTCAGATCATTTTTCACCTTCTTTGCAGATGCCATTTAACATCTCAATAGAAATTTCCAGGGATGGAAATCTGACAGCTTTTTGGGCATTTTTAGATGTTTCAGCTCTCCGCTCTTCAAACCTTTTACTTTGTCCTTTGTTGTAATTTATGTTCACTGTTTCCTGTCCAATTCACCATGACGACAAAAAATAGACTCTATTCACCCACTTTTGCAGCAGCCTGTTGAAGATGTTGTTCACATCTCCTTTCAGCTCTCCTGCTTAAACTAAACAAAGCTAGCTCATCCAATCTTTTCTCATAGATTATTTTTTCTATTTTTTTAGTCATTCTAGTTGCCCTCCTTTGAACTTTCTCCAAAGCATGGCATAGTTTGATCAGTATTTGGATAGAAGGTTCTCAGAATCGTTCAGGGAGCTCCCAGAAGCAGCGTGGGTAGGAAGAGCATGTTTCCCAATGAGTTGGAGATAAGCAATTTCACAACCACGACATTAAAAGAACCCAGAGTTGTCCACATCCTTTTGTGCTCATTAGAAATATGATGACAACTTATGCCAAAAGTGGGGAATATTACCAGCCACGTCCTGAGCAGTTGCCAGCTTGTGTAACTATAGTCTGCTGAACAAGTCCCATTTACAGTCTCAGTTGGATACAGGACTCTTCACTCCTGGCCCACTTGGTCTAAACAGTGGTGAGGGATTCCAGAGGGCAACTGAATAGCCAAGACCTCTCCCATGAGATGGCTGCACTTCAGTGACAACGGAACCAATTTCCCAATATAAAGTCTGTAAAGCAGCTTGGGCCAAATCCTGGAGTTTTTAGTCAGGCAAATTCCTGCAATAATATTTAATTTCCTCCTGATAGGTAAGGGAAGCATTCCCATTTTTATACTCTTATGTGGGTTGCAGTCTGTGAGCTCTGCTCCAGAAGCTGGGGCATAAGCAGAGGCATGGTCTGGGACCCACCTCAGGAGTACCCATGGGAAATGAAACAACACTAGCTCATCCAGGGGTCATATCAAGAGAGTGTCAGTCTCCTGGGGTCAGCAAAAGGACCTGACTGTCCCTGCCCAGCCTCTTCTAGGGCTTCCCACTGCCCCACTCATCACTAGGATCCCATTTCAGCCCCCCAGGGCCATCACCTCTGCCCCAACAATGCTGCAGTAGGGCTAGTCTCCAGCTCCTCACAGTCCAGCCCTGCCTGGCCATGGGCCCTACCAAGAACCTGCCAATGATGGAAATCTCAGATCCACACCCAAAGTCTATATTTGTCACAAAAAGTCCCATAAGTAGGCAGCTTCATGATGTGTATAAAATGAAAGCTCATAAGGGATTTGAATAGAAACCTTATAAACTCATTAGATACAACACGAGCTCCTCTTAATTTTAAAGGCACTGGCACTGACCAGTTTTAAGCCATGTTCTATTTCTTATCAAATATTAGAGATATGTGCTTTGGGGACAAAAATGAGCAACATCCATGTTAAAATTCAACCAATTACAGTTTCAGAAAAAAAATGTGGTTTCTGGTAGAATAAGACCTAGTTCAAAATTGAAGAAATTCAATCACTGTGTCATGGTCAACTTTCAAATTCCATGTATTTCTTTTTCATTAATCTTTTTACATGCAATCAATGTACTTTCATAAAATATTTCTGAAAATAGGTTCCTAAATGTTTATTACTTATTCTGAAAGCAATGATGTTTTCTGTCACATAATAGAATTTTTACTAGTATCTCATGTTTTGAAAAATCATTTTGCAAAATCCTTATTTGAGAATGGGAAGAAGTGATAAAACTGTTGAAAAATTACAGATATGATCAAGACTTCTGCACAAATTTTTAAAGTGTTACTTTTTAATCTTTTTTCCTAACCGTATTACTAGCCAGATTGTATATACAGAAGAAAACATTTTCTACATTTCATTGCACCAATTTATTCTTGAAAAATGTGAGCTGGACTTCTTATAAATCATGTCATATTTTTAGAAAGAAGAATGTAAGATGATTCAAAGAAAGACTGTAATTCTTCATTTAGCAAGTCACTTCATTTTATTTCTTTGTTTGGCAATTTTGCCTGAACTGTATAAAATTAAACCCAAATAAATTTTTTAAAAACCTTTGTTTTATAGACTAAGAAATTGAAACTTTAAACATTATATAACACCTGTAAACACTATATTCCCAGCATACAGTATTTACCAACAAAAGGAAATGCTTATTATTAAATACTATAATAGATTCCATCTGTGTCTGATGGTTAGTTTCAGGTATTCAAAAGCTGAGTCAGATGTCCCCAAGTCATAACATTCTCACATCAGCTAGTTTTAGTTTTCTAAGAAAAAGGTCACTGCAGGAGAAGACAGTAGATATATTTAATAACAGATACAGCCTATTAAAAAAAGACTTGAGATCTAAAGAGATAAGTTTTTACAATTTATCACCTGACAGCTTCATCTTCTGCATAACCTACAGTTACCTTTTCAATCCTTTTTCAAGAGATATGAGAATGATAAGTCACACGTTCAGGAATGAGAGCTTTAGGCAATATAGCAGACACTGCATGACAAAAATAAAACAAGTCTACAACATTGTTATGGGACAGCAAAGAAATATATTACCACATTTCTAGAGAAATAAGAAACTTAACGCAATCCAAGTTCGTGCAGCACCTTGCAGAGATGTCAGCTTACTTAGGTGTCCTCATGCAGTGCTGAGCTGACATGGATCTATTAACTCATCATACAGCACATCATCTTAGTTGTATGAACACAGTTACACAGAGCCATGAGCAGCCTTGGCTCCTCCTAGTTTTGGTATCTGTACATGACATTATGCTATACCTGCAGACAGCAAATACTGTTTTACTTCCTGCTGTGTAACTGTGTGACTATTGTGTATATGACATTTTACTACCCCCAAGTTTGTATGTTAACTGGACAGTTAATGGTATAATGTTCCCTCTTTTCTATTTTTAATTAGCCCTTTCACTTAAATGAAGGTGCAAAGGGCAAACCCATAGATTAAGCTGACTCAGCTGTTAAGTGCTACTCATGTTTACGTGTGGCCCCATTAAATAATTCTATGAATTTATCAACATGCAATTTATGTGTTGCTATGTATATAACTCCCATTGAGATCTGACGTCTAAGGGTTTCAGAGTTATGTCCACGTGTCTGGATGGATCACAGTCTGAGTTAGTTTCATTTTTAAAATAGGAGAAACCATCTTTGCCATTTATAGTTTAGCCATTCCCACTAAACATAAAACTTACATTTTAATTATTATATCTTGTTCTATCAATCAGCACTCAGGGTTTCTCAAAATTTGGGTTCAGATATTTTTCACATTTACCCAAACACTCTCAGAATAGAAAAAAGCATAGCCATCCACTCCCAGCTTCCACACAACCAATTAACTGAGCTTCTTAGCAGTCAGACTCATTTTGCCTTCTGTTAACACAGAGGGGAGCTGCCTGGCAAGAATTCCAAATACAATAATCATCAGTTAATTACAATGATGCTTGCAGAGTATGTATTTAATACTTAACAGTGCTGCAAAGACGAGTGTACGAGGAGCAAAGTCACAGCCCCATTGTAAAACCAGCTTCAGCAGAGTTTACAAAGTATTTAGGGTACTTTGAGTTCATGATAGGAGAAGTTTCTGTTTTTTCCCAAGGAACAATGTGTTGACTGCTCTCGTTTTACACTGTGCCTGTTTTCTGAGTTTTACACTGATACGCACTTATGTGAGATATTTGAAATATATACAAATCTTTAGTCAAATAACTAACAGAGTTAGATATCTGATATGCAGATGACAGCTTAATCCCATTGAATTTATCAATTTAGATGAACCAAGATTTTATTACTGGCAGAGGCAGAATACCTAATTATACTGGCATGTCAATTGGTGACAATGACCCAACAGCAAGGTGCAGGCAGTGGTCTGGCAGAGGCATTGGGGAAAAAAAAATTCTCAATGGGAAATTGAAAATTCAACCAAAAAATGCATAAATAGGCCAAGAGAAAGACAAGTTATTTGTAACAAATTAAAAAGCAAATATCAAGTTTTTGTTCACCAAGTTCTACTGGTATGTGACAGTAAGAGCTAAAGAGATCTTGCTGAAATACATGGCCTGTGTGTCAAAAACAACTCTTGAACTTCACCCAGACAGATCCTATTAACATTCCTGGATTTCAAAAAAAATACCTATTGTTAGAGGACAAGATGGTCCTAAAACACTCAGTCTCTCATCTGACCTTTATTTCTTTGGTGGAATACAGCACCATTGTACTCCTACTTTATTATTATTATTATCATTATCATCATCATCATCATCATCATTATTCCTGTTTATTTCTATGACTGTAAATTCTGGGGACATCAGCAGGACTTAAACTGCTAATCTATGTTCTGTATGAACCCCTCAGAAAACTAACCCAAACAAAAATATTGTCAGATAAAATGCCCTTAATGCCCTCTACAATGATATAAAACATAAATTATTTCAACTGCTCAAATCAGTTAATACAAATATATATTTTCACACGCTTAGTAGAATGTATATAACAATTTACACTTGGTTATGAGCAAAAGGCAGAGTTCTTAAGCCAGGATACGCATAGTTTCCTGACATAGTAATACTGATCTGAATAGAAAGCAATCATCTAGGACCACGTGACAAGGGGACACATTCTTGAGCAGCAAAGGGTCTGATATAGACATTGTTAGTTTGATAAGTGAGTTAATTTAAGAATTAAAGGGCAGGCAGTAAATTTGAGCATGATCACTCACACAGCCTCATAGAGCAGGCACACAACCAAATAAATTGATGGATGGGACTGACAGATGCCATGTGAAGGAGAACATGGTAGTGCCCACCGTAGATAGACAATTTGCATTCCTAGGCTCAGGAGGCTCCTGTCTTGAGTAATGCACTATACAGCATGTACTTTCTCTGCCTGACCTGTCTGTCAGTGCTATACCGTGCAGCATGCACTTTCTTTGTCCTTGCATCTCTGCCCTTGTCCATCTCCATAAGTGCCAAAACTGATTCACAGGGTCTTGCCTGCCCTCACATAGCCTATCTTGCTCATTCTGGCTGCAAGATCAGTACATCCTGTTTCTACACATGTATCCTCATTCTTGATCTTCCTCTCTATCTCATCTTTCTTGAACATCTTTGATCATTTGTATTGACTTGAGTCCCATGATGTAGGCGTTGTTTCCTCTACCTGTCTGTAGTTCTGCTTGTTGTTTTCCGCATTGATAAAAGTTAAATGTTTTTAGGAAGCCCTGTTTTGCTAATTTATACTTTCATTTTATTTATCTGATAAAATATATTTTTATATTTACCTATATTTTTATATTTACCTATATACTACAATGAAAGATAATAGAAAAAAAAAAAAGGAAAAATCAACCCAGTTTCTAGTTTTCAGTTGCTTCTAATGACCAGTTTAAAGAATTTCCATATTGCCTCAGAAAACATGTGGTCCTTTCCAGATGGTTATGTCAATCCTGTAGAAATTGCAGTAGATAGGAACATTTTCCCCCAGAAAACTAACTTTGGTGGAAATTCTGGTAGAACCAGAGTGAATTATCATGCAGCTCATAGACATTGCAGTCTAAAGCAGAATGGGAAGTAGAGGATCTGGTAACATCTTCCCAATTTTTGTAATAAACTTTTAAGATGGTATTATGTCTCTCCACTTTTTTATCTTTGTGTGTATGTCTGTATTTGGATCTTACACAGAAAATTATGTTCTGTGTATGGAAAAAGATGATCTTAAAAAAAACCACACAATCTACTTTCATTTTAAGATACATCTGTCTTTCCATTGAAGACGTTTTTTCCTTCTGCATAATAAGAATTCAGTTATAACTTTTTGACAATGGAATAAAAATTATTCTGAAATTTAAAAACTATGTGAAATTTAAATTTGCTTAAATGTATGGAATTGCAGACATTACTTAGCAAGCTTTGAGATTCCTTGTCTTTCCTTTTCTGACATCTTTAGCTACATCATAGCTACACTTTACTGGTCATACCTTCTTTGTATAGGGATAGCATTGGCTTAGTTTCACAAATTGGTTTTATTTATTTTTTATACAGAAATCTTGTGGACTTTATGCATTACTCTTCTCATTAAACCTAAAAATTGAGTTCTCTCATCAATTTCTAGTCACCTGAATGTCCTACAAAGTAACATTTTCAAGCAGCTGATGATGCTGACCATCACAGATGGGTCTATTCTTTATTAATAATTTCATATGTTTTGAATGAGCAGACTTTTAACAATTCACTATATCGATTATTCTGCTTACAAAGACATACAGGTGGATTAAATAGTTTAATGAAATCATTTGGCTATATCACATGTATTATTAGTTAGAACACACACCTTGACCTTGTAATAGTCCCTGAATGGTTTTATCATCCTCTAGCCATAGCAGTTAGTGAGGACACAATCTGGAATATATCATGGGTGGTCATGGTCATGGTCATAGCCACAACCCTCGATGGAGATAACCACCAGCTACGCTCTGCAGCAAATAGGTATGAGGCAGAGCTTTAGGCACCCTTTCCTCAAGTGAGGTCATTGTTGTGGAAGGGAGCACCAGCTCCTGTGTTGTTGTGAGTCTACAAAATGTAATTTTGGCTTTTCTATGACTCTTATGATAGAAGGCAGTGGAAGCCCCCAGTTTGACTTCTCTTGCTATATCCATGTTATAAGCTATAATGTGTAGTCCAGAGAGACTGGACTGTTCTGTAGACGCTTTCTTAGGAATTCATGATCTTACATGATTTGGAATTGACATAGGCTCTATTTTACCACATTGAGTTGAAACTTTGCCATCCTAACAGTCTAAATGTACAAACTGTCACAACATGTTCCCACAGAGTTTTAAGATTTCCCTTCACTTTCTGAGTGTACTACGTCCCTTCAGGTGGACAGCAAGGAATATGAGACAGTGAGATAGTGAAAGTCAGTGACTTCCCATTATGCTAACCTTCATTATCCTTGATTACGAAAATGGCTCACAGGTATTATCAACACAAAGGCATAGTTTCAAGAGCATGAACATGACTTCCCAAGACTCTATCAGTGGTATTTAGCTGGAATTTTCATGTGGCACAGAACACAACACATAGCCTAAAGCAACACAGACACCAGAAATGCGTCTTCTGCAGACATGTACTTGAAAGTATGGTAGATGAAAAACAAAAGTAAAATTTTTTGTCCTAGCTACATCCTATTCTTCAGCATGCCAAATAATTTTGCCACCTGCTATAGGATTTTATGCTTATCTATGCCCATACTTCAGATAAATCATGTTTTGTCTCTTCATACAGTATAAGCACACAAGAAAGCGGTATTGCCAATATATATGCAATTGGAGAAGCACGTATACCAATAGAGCTACAGGTTGGTATAATATAGTTCTTTATATGCAGAAACAAACAGAGGAAATGTAATACACAATAACATCAAGCTGACTACGCACAGAATAAGACAATTCTACTTTACTATTTTGTTTGTCTTTTCATAAATCAATCCGTGTCCTGCTTATTGCTTGTTTTCTCCAAGGAAAGCAATTTATTTCTTACAGAAAAGCACCCAACACCTTCCCACAATCACTCCCCTTTGTTCTGAACAGAAAAACCTAGACGAAAAAATGGACTTACCGAGAGATACAGAAAAACTGCAAAGCAGAGAAGACGACCAGTCTTTCCCAGCTTAGTAAACTCTGGCTGAAGAAAATAAAAATAATTCCCCTCTCTAAAGGCTACTGCCCCTTCACTCCCATTTAAGGGCAGATGCAATGCTATATTTAGAACCAACCAAGTGATTATCCCATAACTGAGGTCAGCTTAATAGGCAATAAGAGTATGAAATAAAGGCAGAAGTAAAGCTCTACCCCATATGCAGCTTTATACAGTATTTTAATAAAATATAGACCTCATCCCTAAAAAAGCAGGCTTTTCTGTGCAGTTTCTCTTCCCAGTGACACCAAGCACATGGGAAACAGTTTAATGTCAGAAAACAGTTTAAACTTTTTATTTAGAAATGACTGAAGTTTTAAAATAATCAGTAGCTTAGGAGACCAGTGATGAGACGTAAACTCCAGAATCTTTTTAGTAAAGACATGAGATCCCCTTGGTGCCTCAGGCTGTAAAATGAGCCTCCCCGTTGCCTCCTTAAGAGCTCTCTGGATTGGAGAACATGGCTGCAACATGTGAAGGCACAGCAACTATATAAAAAGCCTGTTAACATGGATTTAAAGAATGTCCAGTCCCTACTTATTATTTGTGTCACCAGTCAGCCTGAGAGAGATTTATCTGTGTCTTGTAGATAAAGTACAAGGAATAGATAAAGTACAAGGAATACACAGAGAGGCATATACTGGCAGAGGAAATAACACAGCCAAAGCACTCAGTTCTGTGAGACCCTTATGGTCCCTGATTACTAACAAATAAAATGGAGGTTTAGTGCCTGTAAGGGTCCTAGATATCTATTCAGAAGCTCCAAGACACCGCTGTGGTGGCTCTGCAATATCCAGATGTGATGGGGTAGCAGCACTTGCTCTGCAGAGCTGGTGAGCATGGGCTCAGTCACTGCCCCACTCTGGTGGTGTGCAAACCCATAGGGATTTGTCCTGGGATGGGATGGGAAGGGAAGGGAAGGGAAGGGAAGGGAAGGGAACTCTGACAAGACTTTGTGACAAGTGTAAAGAAATAGTCACATTCTTCTTATTCTGCCTAGAAATAAGGACAGCATGTTTGGGAAAACCTGGCTATAGGGCAGACTTTAACATAGCTCATGACTTGGCCCACAATGATTCAAATATCCAGTCAGTCAGCAACATACAGTAAGTAGGGAATTCATTTATATTCAAAGTACTTTAAAATAACAAGATCTATTTTCAATTTAGTTATACAGCAATGGGATCAAGGCCAAAGTCACTGAGTGACAATCAAGATCTTTCAGTGCTTGTATGAAAAACTATGATACATGAACAATGCTCTTTTAATTCATGCTTTCTTCTTACACATACACACATAGGAAGTAGAGCAAGATGTGGAAAAGCCTTTAACCAATTGCTTCTAGTCACATCTGCAGTATTCATCCAGGTTTCCTAAATAGCTCTGCTAAGGATCTTTTCCACTTTCTGATTGTGTAGGGTTACCATTTGCTTGACACAGACTTCTCCCTTCCTCCCATTGATCTTAAATTATAACTCAGTCTGACAGAATTAGATCTGCAGAGACAGCCACTATAGAATGAGTGCATATGCACTGAGCATAGATACTGCTTCAGAAGCAGCTGTCAAAGTAATTAGCATGTAGTAATTCAGAACAAACCTACTTTACTTACACAGCTCCTCCTCTTCTCTCCTTTCTTATTGCATTTTCCTGTGGTCAGTTTTTAGGGAAACTTTAAAGTTCTCAATAGACTCTCTGCTTTTAATTTCTTGTTGTATATTTATTGTCTTTAGAAAAATGGAGGAATATACAGCCTGCTCTGTCTGCCTTTACACTTGAGTTTTCTTCCCCTTTAAGTTCTTTTTTCAGGGTGCGTTTGGGTGTTAAAAATGTGACAGTGCATCCTGAAGGCTGGGGATAACATGTCATAGGCAAGAACCAGCCATGCAGTGGGTCCAGTCCCAGGTTTTCTCCAGGTAAGTGAATAAATAAATTCTCCTCTTCTCCATAGATATTCACAAAATAGGACAGAAGGGAAAACTGCAATATTGTGTTATTCAGTGGTATTGAAATTTAGGCAGCAGAGCACCAAAAATTACCCAACATTTTAATCGTAAAAGAATTTACATTACATTCTCAGACAAACTTCCTCCCAGACACTGAAGGCATCTTCCTCTGATCCCTTCACTTCCCAAATAGAAGTTCTTCCCTAAGAGGTGCTTTTTAAAGCAGAGATTTAGCAAGGTATCAAAAGGATTATTCGAGCACTGAAAACTAAGCATGTGCTAAAATCCTTTCGTGAATGTGGTATTTTAGAATTACCTCTTTATCTTACACCAGTCCCTTGATGTGGGTTGTTTAATTGATACAGGCTTAAGTAATGGCTCAACTGCTCTCATAAAGGGGAAGACAAAGACCTGAAATGGAGCTCAGAAAAAAGATGCATTAGCTTTTTAGCTACTGGAGGAAACATCAAAACTGTAATGAAATGAAATGTAATGGCATTAGAAGAGGTACATTTTTAGCCTATAAGAGTGCCTTAATAATGGCCTTGTGCTTTTAGCTTTCTCCACTTCCACAAAAACTTAATGCATCTTTTTATGGCAACTTCTGAAGTCCAGCTTTATTAATGTCAGCTCTTGATTTCGTCAAATGCTTGTAGTATATTTATAGTTTCGTCTAAATTGGTAACTAGCAGTGAAGTTCCTCATCCCTGCAGCAGCCCTAATTATTCACAAGGCCCTACAGTAATTTTTCTAAAGTCACACTAGAACAATGGATACTGTGCACTGGCAATCACAGAGCACTCTTTTGGATTTCCTTCACAGCTATCCAGGTCCTAGTATCTCCCTTGGCATTACAAATGAAAGACAAAATAATGTATGCAAATTTAATCATATGAAAAATAAATTGTGCTCTTTTCTCAGTCACTGCCTTTAACCAGAAGCTCAGAATTATGAAGAATTGGGTCCATATATGTACCAAATAGAATGTGTCTTATTCACAAGATAATACCACCACATGAAAAACTTAATTCTAGAAGTGTTTGGAAGCAGTGACCCTGCTTATGAGGATTAGCTAACAAGAGAGCAGTAACAGATGTACTTGACTGCTGACAGCACGTAAATGTGTTCACGCAATTGAGCACAAATCCCTGAGGGAAAAAACACCTGATTGCCTGTTTCAGGTGAGGGAGAGAACAACCCCATCCCAGCTCCTAAGAAACTTGAATATTTCTTTCTCCACTTCCTGGTTTCTGCTTCTTTTCTTTTTTCTTGATGCAATTTCTCTTCCTCTACTAGCATCTTTTTGTTTTCCTTTTTGGTGCCCAACTTGTAAGCATTTAAGGTTGGCGACATAGAGCTGCACACTGCCAAAAGCTAAAACAACCACCCCAAAAATGAGGATAGACCATATGGAGATGGGACCATGGGAGGGAGAGGCAAGACATTTGGTGGAGGAAAAGAAGCCGCTTGCAACCAAGGGAAGGCTGTGCAGCTCCCGGCAGAGAGGATAACAGAATCACAGAATGTTAGGGATTGGAAGGGACCTCAAAAGATCATCTAGTCCAATCCCCCTGCCGGAGCAGGAACACCTAGATGAGGTTACACAGGAAGGCGTCCAGGCGGGTTTTGAATGTCTCCAGAGAAGGAGACTCCACAACCTCTCTGGGCAGCCTGCAAACGGCAGCTGCAAAAAAAAATGCAGGTGCTAGAAACTGTTTTAAACAGACAGACAGGGATTTTCAACCTGCAACTCAACAGAACTGGACTGAACTGCATCCAGAACATCAGATACTTTCAGTATAAGCCTTTAAACAAATGCTAAAATACCTGCACATACAAAACATTGTGGTTGGTTTTTTTTCCCCGCAACACAAAATAAAGTGAATATCTTAGTAAGTACTCTTATTTATAACTAGGAAGACAAACATGCCACGGAGTTACTGTGAGTCAATTGTTTATAAGATATTTAAATTGGAATGTTTCACCCTGCTGTTCAAGTACTCACTCTGGAATACATCAGAGTCTATGGTAAGGTCTTACTGACTGACTCAGGAAAGGTCTGATTCAGATCCTTCTTGATTTAAAGACTCTTTAAAAAGGTGACAGAAGGTTAGCTCAACCACAAACAGAAAATACAGAGTTGCCTAGCGCAGCAGCAGGTTTCAACTACTTATTTTGTGAGTTACTGCAAGTGGCAACAAGAGTGTATTTTGCACTGCTTTGGACAGCATAAAATATTAGAGCTGGTAACAGGCTGACAGTGATCCTTTAAGCAAAATTGGGCCTTCAATCAGTGGGACTGCTTGGCTAAATATGTTTTGCTAAATTTTAGAGTGAGCCAAGCAAGTTACACTCTCTCACCAGTGACGTGAAATTACAGCTCAGATTTCAAATAACGTTTTAATTTAATAAAATCTTTTGGAGGAGTTTCTAATAAAGCTAATGAAAACAACAACACTCACTATAGTTTACTAACTCTAGTTAGTTATACAAACCATACCATAGGAGACCCCTCTAACAGTATGAACTCAGTGGCACCTCTTCATTTACCATTACAATGAGATCTATTTTTCAAGTGCAAAGATAAGGACCATAATGATTTTTGTCTTACCCTGGTATATTTATTCAAGTGTCACACAGTCCACTCTGCAGATATCTGCTGCAGAAACAGTTATCTCTATCAACTAATCTCTATGTTGGCAACAATAGATGAAATCTAGACACAACCACAGGTTGTAAGAAGGCAGAGACAGGAGCAAGTTACACTGCAATCATGTGGTGTTCAGCCACTCCTCATAAGTCACACTGATCCTTCTCCAGCCACTCTGTAGTTTCTTTGCCAGGTCTTCAAAAGCAATGCCATAGCGCATAAAACAAAGCAACATTTCATTACAGAAAACAGACTGAAGAGTCCTACTTGATTATGCCATCCCAGCCTCTAACTACCATTTCTCTTCATAGTCCATATCCTCGTGCATCAGATCAAGCTACATTTGGTGGTCACCAGTTCTCACCATTACCACTA